TGTGCCGCCGCACGTGTTTCCTTGAAATGTATTTCAAGTTGCAGCTTGAAGAAAGAAAAAAAGAAAGGAGGAAACAAATAGAGGAGAATTTTATCAGTAACTACAAGTGCCCCAAAGCTCTCTGAATCCGGACGAGTCAAGGGCAAAAGGAAATGCTGGTGGAGGGGGCTTCCACGTGGTGCTTTCACCTGCAGACCCTTATCTGATGGGGCTGGTGGGTCTCTGCCCAGGTCCTGAGGACTTTTGACTCCATGATCAGCTCAAACTGTACCCAGGAGCTAGAGAACACCGGGGTGGATGTCTGGAAGCACTCAAAGGTATGGGCATGCAGAGCAGCCCCGCAGCTTGTCCCATCCCTCCTAAACAAGTAGAGCCAGGGGACAACTGGTGCTTTGGGCACTGCCCACCAAGCCACGGCTTTGGTGGCATCCCTGATCCTCCAGTGCGGCCACTGTCACCTGTTGCAAGACAAAAGCCATCAGCATCTTCTCCCTTCTATGGCTTTTATTGTTTCCTGCAGGTCAAGACAGTCACCAAGTCTCATAGTGGGCTGCTGGATGTGACGGTGACCTCCTCGGTGCCCGGCCACAAGCCAGTGGAGGGAGTGATCCGGGATGTTGACTGCCTGCTGTGGGCGGTGGGGCGGAAGCCAAACACCGAGGGCCTGTGCCTGGACCAAGTGGTGAGACGGCAGTACATGCCTTCTGAGCCTGTCCAAGGGTGCCCGGGAGTCCCACAGGTCTCCAGGTGTCCCATGGGTGTTCAGGGAGTCCCACGGATCTCTGGAGTCTGCCATTCCCACCATGCCTCCCCCCAGCTGGGAACAAGGCAGCCGCCAGCACAGGTCCCCCATGGGCATTGCCTGTCCCATCCCTCCTGGGATGTGTGCTGAGGTGGCTCCTCTTGCCCATGTCAGGGCGTGCAGGTGGACGACAACGGCCACGTGGTGGTGGACGAGTACCAGAACACCACCAGGAGAGGGATCTATGCTGTCGGAGATGTCTGTGGGAGAGCCCTCCTCACCCCAGGTACTGTGGCCGTGCCCCCCTTCCCAGCCCCTCGGTGTCGTGACATGGCTCAGGCTCTCCATCCTTCCCTGCAGTGGCCATCGCGGCTGCCAGAAAGCTGGCCCACAGGCTCTTCGAGGGCAAGCAGGACTCCCGGCTGGACTACTCTAACATCCCCACTGTTGTCTTCAGCCACCCACCCATTGGCACCGTGGGCCTTACCGAAGGTGGGGATGGACAGGGCACGAGGGGGAGGGTGAAGAGGCTGGGGACGTTGTGG